CTTAACCTACTAAAACCCACTTTTCTGTAGGTTCTTATTGTAGACCCTAATATGGGATTTATAGGGACCCTGCAAAAAAAGTAGGTTGTGGTGGGTTAAGGTACCACAATCTACTGAAAATACAAAATATTTAAAAGTATTCTGTATTCTACTCTAACAAAAATATATTCTAGTCCTTACAAGTTGCTGAAGGACCGCGGGACTTAGCAACTGGGGTTTAAAATCGGGCAACTAGAGTTATATAAACACACTGCTAGTCCCCAACTAAGGTGCTTAAAACCTTACTTACGACGGTTGATGATATAATTCCTGCATTACCTTAAGGACCCTAGAGTATGGGAGTTATGGTATATTCCTTGTTGTGGGTAATGCAGGATTTATATCATCGACCGTACGTCCCTTGATCTCCCTCAAGTATGCCAAGAGTTGAAAACGGGCCCCAAGAGTTTGGCGTTTTCTTTATGATGGGGTTTGCTCGGTTTCTACCGAGGGGTTGTAGGGGTTCTCACAGCGCCTCGAGATCAACAGGCTGAACGAAAACCCTCCCCTGAACTTAAACCCTAAACCCTAAACCTTCTACTCTGAGACCCTATATCAACTTCCCAAAACCCTCCACAAACCCAAACGGGAGCGCCAAAACGAAGCTCCTCACAAACAACCCCATCATTCTCAAAATAGTCTTGTCGCGATTATTGATACTATTCTTACTATGTCTCCTATCGTTTCGTGACTATCAGTCTCAGTCTCCTTAACCCCATCATTCTCATGATCGTCCCTGAGCATCGCGGCCCTCGTCTGGTTCAGGAAGTCGGGGTGGGAAAAGGCCGCGAAGAGCTGCCTCCTGACTGGCAGGTCTTTACTAGGAACCCTAAACCCTAAACCCCTAAACCCCTAAGCCCTAAACCCAAACTGGCTTGGTCTTTGGGTTTAACGTTTAGGTCTTTAGGGCTTTAAGGTCTTAGGGTTTTGGGTTGTGGCCTTCCTTTGGGCTTAAGTCTGCCTGATTGTTATCTCTTTGGGCTTTTAGGTCTGCTTTCTTTAGGCTTTTAGGCCTTGAAGCTTTAAGATTTGCCTTGAACTATCCATTCGTAGGCTGGGAATAAGATCTATAGCCGGGCTGATAGTAAGAGCCTACGAATAGCTTAAGGCAGGCTTTATGTTTAGGACCATTAGGAGTTACGGTGAAGGGCTGAGGCTCTCGGCCCTCGGAAGTTTACTTAAAGGATCATTCCATTTTGTAGCTAGATTTTTAGACAAGGTCACTATACTCATAACTCCCTAAACCCTAAACCCTAATGAGGGCAGTTATAACCAACCTCACTAAGTCCCATGATCCTTGAACCAGGGATGAGGGTGATAGCTGGGCTTCGGGCTGAGAGCTCTGAAGTCATTCGGTAATTTAGGGCTGAGGGCCTAGGGTTTAGGACTTCGCCCCGAACCATTCCGGTTTAGGGCTTTGGGTTTAGGGCCCCTCCGGTTTAGGGCTTTGGATCTAGGGTTAAGGGTTTTAGGGTTGAACCCCTCCGGTTTAGGGCTTTAGGTTTAGGGTTTTGGGTTTTAAGGTTTAGGGTTTAGGGGTCTAGCCAGGAGGACAGCTCCCAGAAAGCTCCTCTGCGGCGAGGTATCTTCTGGCCGGCGTGGGCTAGCCTTCCAGCACAGGCTTGTAAGAATCCGGCTTTTGGGTTGCAGGTGCCGGATCAAGGAAGGAGCTGTATCAACTTCAGGTTCAGGGCTTTAGGGGAGGGTTTAGGTCTTTAGGGTTTCGGGGCTCGATATCCCGATAACCACCGAAATAGCAGCTGTTGACCTGGAGCCAACTGCTCCAAAAGCTCAACCCCACAATGCTGAGAGTTCAGAGTGTTGAGGGATTGAGCTTTGGGTTCTGGGTTCAGGACTAAGGCCCCTTGCGCCGTCAAGCTAGGCAGTTCCTGCCAGTTTACGAAAGCCTGGTTCGCATGGTTCGAGGCTGTTCCTGCACCTGCATCTTCCCAAAGCCTTATAGAACCCATATGGAACCCTTCCAAAACCGTATGGAACCCCTTCTAAGGGCCTGAAAGACGCCCATTAGATGAGTCAGGCTCTTGTGTTTGCGGCACCCAGGGCTCCAAGTCCAAAGTGAGCTCGACTCAGCCGTTGAAGTTTAGGGCTCAGGGCTTAAGTCACCTGACCCGAAACCGTAATCCCCACTCCCCGACATGTTAAGCCTTGCTCCCTAAACCTAAACACAAAAACCTGTGAGCTTTCGAGTCTATGAATTAACAGTTTAGGGTTAGGGGTTTAGGGATTAAGGCTGTTGTATCCGTGGGCTCTTTTCCGTCTGCGGCAAACTAACCCCTCTCAAGGCGTTTAGCCTTAGGCTTGAGGTCCAGGTTATACGCAGGTTTAAACCCTAAGCCCCTAACCCCCGCAACCCTAAACCCCTAAACTCTAAAGCCTGAGCCCAGACCTCAACACTAATCCCTCAAACCCCGGCGTTAGAGTTGCGCCCTTCACCACCCTAAACCCCCAAACCCTAAACCGTAGACCCTAAACCCTAAACCCTCAACCCTAAAGCCCTAAAACCCTAGATCTCTAAACCCTCAACCCTAAACCGTCCTTCACCTCCCATGTGCGTTGACAGTGCCTGCGGGGCGCAGCTGGC